GAGTATTTCATAGCCAATAGGCTGAAGACTTGATGTAAAAGGCAGAATCCACTATTAATACTGGAGTGCTTGTTACTCGCAAAGGCAAAGAAATATTAACGAAGACAGGGACTTGAGTCACTTGCAAAAAGGTGCCTTTTTGGTGATGCTAATAGTTTTATTTTAGAGGATGATTGTAACTCCTCAAATATATCTTAAAAATAAGCAAATTTAAATGACTTCACCCAAAAGTATTAGTGCGTACCTAAATAGAGAAGCCAATATAAATCATTTTATATACGAAAAGCAAGACATTTTCCAAGGAATCGCCTTATAAACCAATGTTGCAGGAAACTTGTTTTTTTTAGGAAAAGGCAAGATAAAGGGATTCATAGGTCAATCCCACCGGAAAGCTAAGGCCGATTACAATTATCCTGCAGCCGTTTGGTTTTAATACCACGTTCTGGCTGACGAAGTCCACGAGACAAACTCCCTTGTCTTTTTGACTTATTGTTCACTTTAAACTTCTGCAAGAATGAGTTCCAGCTCTGACGATGTCTGCTAAACGTCATAACGAATGAATGCTCAGCCAGCTTTCGTCTGAACTGAGGACTAACGTCTCTCGAACTGTTTCAATCTTAACATCGTATTATCTTCTGATGAGATCGACCTACGAATCTATTCCTCGGGAATTTGCATAAGCAACGAAAGTCTCCACAACAAACCGGATAATAACTCTTGTGTTGGTTTATTTTGGTACCGTTTTCAGCCGAATCTAGAGCCTTACAGCTCGACTACATCTTGCGCTTGGTTTTACGCGCTGTTCAGCTGAGGCTGCCTCCGAGACAAGTTACTCACAAACAAGCACACGCACTGAATTAGCAATGTTGGAAGGTAAAAGAATTGATTTATGAATCTACTTGATGGGCATAAAGACGAACAAGAAAGGAAATGACGACCAAGCAGGTCTTTTCCATTCACAAGCCTGGCTGTTTTGGAAGTGATAGAGTAGGATTGATTGGCTTCTGATCTACGTCAGTAAAAATTAGCTCCAGTTCATCAAATATACGCTTTAAGCCGACGCGAACCAAACAGATGGCACTTGAACGCCATCGTTCCATCGCCAGATTCGCGGCAGCCTCTTCATCTGCAATGGCTGACAATGACTTTTCTACGATAGTCTGGTCTTCGTTGGCTGCCGGCCTCGTAGGCTGATCTGTCCCAGCACCGCCGCCACTGATCTGTTGGGTGAGCACGGATTTCCTTCGACGACGAGAAGCCCCGCTGCCACTCGCCCCGGTTATCGCCTGACCCGGCTTAGAGACCAAAGTCAAGGCCTCACCTTTGGATGGCGAAGAATGCTATAGAGACGAGTAAATAGGGCGAATTGATAGTAGCCATGCAAAATGTGAGCATAGAGACATATTTTAAGGGTATCACATTCGAGATGTTCAGTTATAACCTTTTCACTAGACAGCATTATTATTTAGTTCCTGTCCTTGGAAAAAACTTAATGGCTCATCACATGCTTAAGCAAACTCGAAAAGCGCTGAATTTTGATAAATATTATGTTACAATTTTGTTTTAATTCACCTGCTGAAGCTATTCAGTGGTCGATCTAACAAAAAAATGACGAATAATGTTGATCTTACTATACCAGTCAGGGTAACACATATATGTAAAGAAAAGTTGGGTTTTGAGGAATATCTTGTTTAATGATTGTTGAGCCAACTTCCATTTCGAGTAAAA